TCTTGGAGCAAAGCCTCAAGTTGCGGTAGATTGGATTTGCTCGCATAGATTACCGTGTCATCTGCGTACATGTGTACATTTGAGGATTGGCAGACATTAGGCAGATCATTTATAAATAATGTAAATAGTAGGGGGCCGTGAATGGAACCCTGGGGAACACCACACGTGACTGGGAGAGGGAGGGAGTCACTGTCAGAAATGGACACATATTGCGAGCGATTCGATACATACGATCGAAACTAGTTTAGAGAATGATCACCAATACCTGATTTTTTAAATTTGTGCAGTAGAATGTCGTGGTCTACTGTGTCAAAGGCATTAGCAAAATCAAGGAAAATAGCTCCAGTTAGGGCTCCTTGTTCCATGCCAGTTTCGATGTCATTTCGATGCAAACTTTTAGGAGGGCAGTTGTAGTGGAGTGATTCTGGCGAAAGCCCGATTGATCAGGGGTCAGATAGTTTAATTGTTGGTAGTACTCACAAAGTTGCGTATGGACACATTTTTCTAAGATTTTTGACAATACCGGGAGCAATGATATTGGGCGATAGTTAGAAACCAAAGTAGTGTCACCACTTTTATGGATAGGCACTACTCTCGCAGTCTTCCAAAGTTTGGGTATGTATCCAGACACCAAGGATTCGTTAATTAGAGTTGAGACGGGTTTAGCAATTGCCGGCGCACTGAGCTTCAACAGCATTGCTGGGATTTGATCAGGTCCGGACTGGTTTTTCATTTTTAGATTATTAAGATGTTTTTTAATGACACTAACAGGTACAGGTCTAAAAATAAACTTGTCTCTATTGGGCCGTTGCAAATTTAGTGTGACCTGATCCACATTTGTAGTTTCAGGATGCGTGTCATTTATTAGCTTGGCAATCAGGGCAATAGAGCATCCGACAAAATAATTGTTAAAGGCATTTGCTACATCTAAGGGAAGTTGCAGGGTTTGGTTACCCACTTTGACAGTGGAGGGTTGGGAGTGGTTCGGGGGAGTTTGTAGTTTATTTATGACTTTCCAAAAATTTCTAGGGTTTGAGATGTTACTGTTCAGATTTTCATAGAAATATTGGGCCTTGGCCAGTTTTGTCTGTTTTGTGCATATATTTCGCCATTGTCTATATGCACCGTGATCATTCATAGAGCCAGAACGCTTAATCTTTGACCACAAAGAATCCCGAAACTGGTACATTTGGATGAGGTCAGCTGTGATCCAGTTCATATGTGCTCCTTTTACCCTCACCTTACACAGTGGGGCATGCAAATTCCAAATTTGTAGGAGTTCAGACTGAAAGTATTCAACAGCACAGTCTAGATCTGGGATAATGTTTAATCTGTGCCATGAGAGATTCTTGATGTCATTTAAAAAGGATTCAAGATTAAATTTTTTGAAGGACCTAGTTATTTTAACCTTGGGAGAGGATTTAATAGCCTTTATTTTGCGCACACAGTACACTAAACAGTGATCACTGAACGTGTTTGGGAGAACACCAACCTCCTGGATTCTATCAGGAGAAGTGGAGAGAATCCAATCGAGGAGGGTATGGTTATGGATTTTAAGGTTTATGCGAGTTGGGGAGGAGATTAATTGCGTTAGCTGCAAAGTCTTAAACAGTGTGCAAGAACTATTATTTTTAGGGTTTAGCCAATCAATATTAAAATCTCCAAAGACCAACAGTTCACTTTTTGGGTTTTGAGCTATGGTTTCACTAAGGAGATGGGCTATGCCGGAAAGGGAATGCACAGGGGAGCTAGGTGGGCGGTAGATTCCTGCAACAATGATTGATTTACTGCACGGGATCTCAATTGTGCCAGAAAGGAAATCAAAGGTGGCAGGAGGACTAAGGTTTTGTAAAGGGGTAAACTTTATGGAATTGTCAACATAAATAACAATGCCTCCTCCTCTCTTTGCTCTGTCATTTCTAAAACATGAATAACCCTGTATTGCAATGGCGGTGTCTGGTATTTTAGCCGTTAACCATGATTCTGAGATCACAATGATTTTTGGTTTGTAATGGGAACACCAGGCTTGCAGTGCATCCAGTTTTGGGAGTAAACTACGGATGTTGCAGTGCACAAAAGAGAGGCCTTTTTTAGTGGCGAGATTAGGGCTAGAATTAGCTGGGGGACCAGGGTTAGACTCCACATCAGTTGCAAGGGCAAGTAACATAAGGAGTAGGAATTTGGACATCATCTTTGTTTGGCCATATAGTGAATGGGATAATTTATAATTTTGAGTTGCGGGTAGAAGGGCTATTTTTTATAACTCTCCACCAGCACTCAACAGATAAGTTAAAGGAACAGAGCAGGCCATGATGTATTATAATTTGTATTCCAGTTTGAGGTGTGTGTTTATGCTGGTAGTGGTGTGAACAAAATCGGATTGAGAAAAGGGTTATTAAGAATAACAGTATGGTTATATTAGGATTATAATAATGGAAATGTTTCATTATTTGTTTCCTTCTGAACAGAATGAATGGTGTTCGGGGTAACTGAAGCAATGGCAATGGGCCAACTGGTTTCACATTCCAATACCCACATTTTATTTGATCCAGGGTATGGTAATAACCTGAGATATTTTGTAGCTTTGTATCATATTAAACAGTCTTGAATTACAAATCAGTTCCTTCCTAGATAACAAATGCCTCTGGAATTCAAACAATCTTCTTTAATTTTCCAAACATTGAACATTCTAAAGGATACGTACTGTGCTCTTATTTTAGAGAAACCTTTTATTTGGCAAACTTCAATGTAAAAATCCTCAAGGTTAAAGAACAGGTTTTCATTGCGCTCTTTATGTCAACCTTGAATATATTTGCATTCAATTATCTAGGCCTCTTGAAGGTGTAGTGTAAACAATATGTATAGTTTTGAACCTTAGTAAAACATTTCTACTTCATTTAATATTCTGTTGCCACTTGCGAACTGCTTAGCAAAATTGAATATTCAAGGTGAACTCTTACTAACAATAAATAAAGACAACCTATAGCTTATTCAAGTTATATGCTTTTTTTTTTCTTTATAGAAGTCATTCTGATTTATTATAGAACATATATTTATTTACTTCCTATACTCACTGCATACAAAGAACAGGACACAGATGCACAATGAAGGGATCCTTCATACTGTTGCATTTCTGAAAATTATGGAATAATTCTAAAAAGTTCATTGCATATCCACTAGAAACACTAAAATGTAAAAGAGGAACCCCTGTATAGGTCAACTGTCCTATTTATAGGATGGTACTGTAAAAGACAGGTCAATCCTCCTCTGTTTGATAAATTGTTGATTAAATATATTCCATCAAGCAATTAACACAATCTTTCAATAAAATACAGGTCTCACAATGTATAATACAGTTGGTTTCTATAGCTTCTTGTTTTTGTACTTTTCTTTCTTTCTTTTTCTCTCGCTCATCTCATTTTCCATTCCTTCCATTTCTTGTACTTTACTGTATAGATAGTGAATATGATACTGATTTTATTTAATATAATCTTTTAAAAAATTTAAAAAACATGTTGGCTGCCTGTGAAATGTGTTGGGGATTCATAGGTTGCCTACAAGATCCAATTCTGTCTTTGCATAGAAGAATGACTGCTGTGATGGAAGATCCAAGCGACCTATTGAGAGAACGGACATTCCTCTGGTATTGGATGTGGTTTGAAGAAGCGCTGTGGTTGGCCTTTTCGCATGCTGGTTTAACAAAGAGAAAGTGTGAGAGATGGTTTCTGCATCATTTGACATGTTTACGATAAATACTGCATTAGGAATATCCCGTGTGTATTTGTGCCTTTAGATCTTTGTGCAGCTCATGATGAGCTAGGACTTCTTGCAAGAGGATACTTCTAAACTTGGCTAATAAAATGTATTAATTTATTTTATTTATTGTTTTTGTGATATTCTTTTTAAATGTTTTTTATTGAAACAAAGTTTTTACATTTTTACATAACAAAAAATAAACTTATTCAATGGTAAATAGTAAAAACAATTCAAAAGTAACACAATATAAAACTTTGGGGAAGGTTTTAAAAAAAGGGGGGGGAGAGAGAGTAAATACAAAATATAGAATTTAATATGTAATGTAGAAATCATTAGACATATTTACCTGATGTTCTATTTTGGACAGGAAAGCACTTTTGGATAATTTCACTAAGTAAACTAAAAAAGTGTGATTTATCGAGCACAATTATCACCCACAAATTAGGCCAAATTATAAAAACAGGCACAACATTCTGGGGGGGAAAAAACTGTTGATTTTATTCAACTCAGATATTTAGCACATAAAAAAAAAACAAAAAAAAAAACAAACAATGTAATAAAATGGTTTTCAGAAAAAGACATTGTTAAAAATATATAGCCAAAACAAATGAAAACAAGCTCAGTAAACTTTTTATGAGCAAAAATATATATATTTTTGAGATTTGTGAGAAAAATATTCATGCATAATGAAAGGTCAGTGTGACACTGTAAACAGGCCTGCAGAGCAGATGTTAGACAGCCAGATACATAGAGGAACAAGGCCGCAAACCAATCTCATACAACGCCTCTGTGATCGAGTTTTGGGAAAAGAGCCAGAATTTTATGTTTGAAAAGTTTTACGTAAACAAAATGGGAATAATAACCAGGCGCATCTTATTTACAGGGAAGTCCCACAGTGGCTTTTAAATGATTTAATCTATTTCTGTGGAACCAGAAACCGCGTACTTCAGCTCGAATGTGTAAAGAGGCATAAGGTGTGGCAGCTGTTCCTGAAAAAGACCCAGTGTGGGGGAGATGGGTGGTTGTTATCTTGTAAAAATAATTAAATCATTAAAATATTAGTAATTCCATAACACTGGTTTTTACTTAAAAGTAAAGAAGTAAATGTTTCACGTACACAAAAAAAGCACTTTTAAAAGGTTTGCCAATGGTTAAGAAAGAACTTGAAGTAGGAACAGCATTTACATGGAATACATTTCCATGAAGTATACAAAACTGTAGAATGTAACTCTGCAATGATTTTCCTACTGCGTAAACCAGGGACTCCCTTCAACTACAAAGGGGGCTTTCTAACGTAATCATTTTTAAAGTTATCTGGATATGTGATATTCTATTAGACAAAAGACACATGGAAATATATATTCTTGGGAATTCTAGATGCTGTGTAATTCAAGTCTTTGTGGAGAGAAGGTAGCCATCACAAAGTACAGTATACTGTAGCAGTACTCAGCAAGCGATAGGCCACAGCACTGTGCTAGGTATGCCACCAACAGGAATGTATTATTATTGCCATTTATATAGCGCCAACAGATTCCGTAGCGCTTTACAATATTATGAGATGGGGGATTTAACTATACATAGGACAATTACAAAAACTTACAGGAACGATAGGTTGAAGAGGACCCTGTCCAAATGAGCTTACAGTCTACAACCTCTACCCTTGTAAAGGATTTGGGCCATGGGGGCAGGTTAGCTCAGGTTCTATATCTATACAGGCAAAATTACATTTTAGTCGCATAAATTATTAGTATATCACAGAACATTTCTCAGGAAACCCCACCATTGCACTCACACCTGTAAAATTAAAATGTCCATCGTTGTCGATTTGAAATGTTGGGAGGTATGTGCTGTACCCAAACTGTCTAAAAATAAATTATATATAGTTAAGCAGATATACCCCCATAGGGGAGACAAGCCTGAACACCTATTATATTTGTGAGTAAATCTTTAATCGCTCTTCCCCATTTATATGTTTTGTATTGTATTACATTATTTGCAGTTTATTTAGCAACTTAGAATGTGACGGCAGATAAGAACCGTTCAGCCCATCTAGTCTGCCCAATTTTCTTAATACTCTCATTAGTCCCTGGCCTTATCTTATAGTTAGGATAGCCTTATGCCTATCCCACACATGCTTAAACTTCTTTACTGTGTTAACCTCTACCACTTCAGCTGGAAGGCTATTCCATGCATCCACTACCCTCTCAGTAAAGTAATACTTCCTGATATTATTTTTAAACCTTTGTCCCTCTAATTTAAGACTATGCCCTCTTGTTGTGGTAGTTTTTCTTCTTTTAAATATAGTCTCCTCCTTTACTGTGTTGATTCCATTTATGTATTTAAATGTTTCTATCATATTCCCCGTCTCGTCTTTCCTCCAAGCTATACATGTTAAGATCCTTTAACCTTTTCTTGTAAGTTTTATCCTGCAATCCATGAACCAATTTAGTAGCCCTTCTCTGAACTCTCTCTAAATTATCAATATCCTTATGGAGATACGGTCTCCAGTACTGTGTACAATACTCAGTGTTCTGTACAATGTTATGAGCACTTACCTCTTTCTACTGCTAATACCTCTCCCTATACAACCAAGCATTCTGCTAGCATTTCCTGCTGCTCTATTACATTGTCTGCCTACCTTTAAGTCATCAGAAATAATCACTCCTAAATCCCTTTCTTCAGATGTTGAGGTTAGGACTCTATCAAATATTCTGTACTCTGCCCTTGGGTTTTTACGTCCAAGATGCAATATCTTGCACTTATCCACATTAAATGTCAGTTTCCACAACTCTGACCATTTTTCTAGTTTACCTAAATCATTTGCCATTTGGCTTATCCCCCATGGATCATCAACCCTGTTACATATCTTAGTATCATCAGCAAAAAGACATACATTACCATGAAGACTTTCAGCAAAAATATTAAAAAGAATGGGTCCAAGTACAGATCCCTGAGGTACCCCACTTGTGACAAGCCTATGCTTCAAATAGACTCCATTGAGTACAACCCTCTGTTGCCTGTCACTCAGCCACTGCCTTACCCATTCAACAATATTGTAATCCAAACTTAAAGATTGCAGTTTATTGATAAGCCTTCAATAAACTGCAGTCTTTAAAGGACCACTATAGTGCCAGTAAAACATATTCGTTTTCCAGGCACTATAGTGCCCTGAGGGAGCCCACACCCTCAGGGACCCCCTCCCGCCCGGCTCTGGGGTGAGGAAGGTGTTAAACTTACCTCTTTCTCCAGCCCCGGGCAGGGAGCTCTCCTCCTCCTCGGCTTAATGCGCATGCGCAGCAGGAGATGCACGCACATTCAGCCAGTCTCATAGGAAAGCATTCATAAGGCTTTCCTATGGACGCTTGCGTCTTTCACAGTGAGAAGCATGCAAGCGCCTCTAGCGGCTGTCAAGAGACAGCCACTAGAGGCTGGATTAACCCATTTATAAACATAGCAGTTTCTCTGAAACTGCTAGGTTTATAATAAAAAAAAAAAGGGTTAATCATGGCTGGACCTGGCACCCAGACCACTTCATTAAGCTGATGTGGTCTGGGTGCCTATAGTGGTCCTTTAAGTTTGGATTACAATATCTGAATGGGTTTTAGGGACATTATGTTCCTGCCAGCCGATCAGAGGAATCTTTATCCCAGTGTTCACTATTCCTCATAAGTGTTTCATTTGCTTATTCAGAAGGTGGTCTTTAACACATTATAGTTCCTTCTTCATGTTTATATATTTTGGGTGTTCATTTGAGGTATCATATAGCTCAGTGGTTCCCAAACTTATTAAATTCAAGGTGGCATTAATATTTCATATTATTTATATATTTCATTATATATAATTTCAGATTAATAAATATATATTTAGTTTGGATGTAGGGGTGTGTGCATGTAATATTTGAAGTCTGCTTGTATGTTGTGCTGGTGTTTGCGTGGATGTATGCACAGATATTCATGCACATTAACACACATATGCCTATAACTACACCGACACATGCACCCAGACACACACAAACATTGATACATGCCCACACCATGAGACGGATACACATACAGATGTGTGTGCAGACACAGAAGCACACTGATATATATTATATATAGTGAATAAAGGAAGGAGATGCACTCTACGATCTTTGATGAAAAAAATCACTGGTATTTAATATAAGAAGTTTACATCTGTCTGATCAACGTTTCGACCTCTTCAGCTCCTCCTCAAGATATATACATCTACTCACACACAAACTCATACTCCCACTCACACACATACAAGTGATTTTTATTTATTTTTTTCCCCAATATCTCCAGCCACCCTCCTGACAGCTTACCTTATGTGCCAGGAGGGAGGCTTGGAATCCTGCTGCTGGTAAAAGTGGGAGGTCTGCAGCTCTTCATGCTCCTCTCCCCTCACGCTGCGGAGGAAGTGACAGGCTGCCATTTTTCTCCCAGCCGGCAGACATTACAGGGTTCCAGTTGCGGTCTTAAAGGACCAGGGCTTCCGACCGGGTCCCTGTTCAGCAGTAATGTTTCCCTGGTGCTATAATCATAGTGTATGCACGTTTTCGCAGTTTGCTGACCTATGCAACAGATTGTTTTATGGTCAAGTTGTATATCCCTTGTACAGCCAAACCATTTGCTCACTTTTTTTTCCCCCAACTGTTTTACAGAATATTGGAATGAATTTTGCGGAGTACACAACTTGGTGTTTTTGCATTTTGGCACTTTACATATGAAAATGAAAATATTCAGATGCCTTGCAGTTGGGTATGTGAATGGATCGATTGGAATTGGGTATTGGAAAGGATCTATCATTTTGAATTATGTGAACTCTCAATATGACGAGAATGTACACTGTTTACGTTGGGATAAAATCCACAAGCAGCAAACATAGTTGCCTGGTTAAAACCAGCTACATGTATTTCAAAAGAACATTGTAAGCTGGGTGCTTTTTTGGACCGGCTAGTCTGTCTGTACAGAGTAGGGGGGAGAGCAGTGAGGAATTTACGGGTAAATCTACAGGACTGACCAGAGATCAGGTCCGGAATGTTATGAAATGTATAAAAAAAAATTAATAATACTTAATATTAACCCCTTAAGACCGCAGGGCGTTTAGATGGCTCTAAATGCCGCAGAGCGGCATAGAACACCTTATGATCTTATGTACTTACCCGGTCGCCGACAATCGTGGTATGGAGACTCACCTAAGAGCCCAGGGAGTCCCCCTCCGTCCTCTTCGGGCCACCTGGGCCATGTGATCACGAGGTCCTTGCGAGGACCTCACGATCACATGGACGGCATAGCCGTCCAAGGCACTGCCAGCAGGGGGAGTGCCTGTAATGACAGGGACTCCCGTTGCTGTCTAAAAATAAAATAAATAAATGATAAAACAGTGTAAAATTAAATTATATATACTTAGATCATATATATTTATTATATATATATATATCCACACATATATACACATACATATATAAATATCAAAATACACGTACAATGATATTGATTAAATATATATAATTTTTATTATATATATATATATATATATATATATATATATATATATATATATATTATAAAAATAAATATGTAAATACGTTAAATAATAAAATTTAATAAATAAAAATAATTTAAAAATATGATATACATATATACACACACACACGTGTATATATATATATATATATATTATAATTCTATGTATATATTTATGTAATAATTTTACATAATTAGGTAATTTTATTAATTACAATTTGCAGGACTTGCCTGACAACCGAGGCCGAAAGTTCAGGGAATTTAATTTGCTAGCACTTAACCCTGTAACTTTCCAAAACACCATAAAACCTGTACATAGGGGGTACTGTTTTACTCGGAAGACTTCGCTGAACACAAATATTAGGGTTTCGAAACAGTAAAATGCATTACAACGACGATATCGTCAGTGACAGTGACATTTTTTGCGTTTTTCACACACAAATGGCACTTACACTGACGATATAATTGTTGTGATACGTTTTACTGTTTTGAAACACTAATATTTGTGTTCAGCGAAGTCTCCTGAGTATAACAGTACCCCTCATGTACAGGTTTTATGGTGTTTTCAAAAGTTACAGAGTCAAATATAAGGCTTGCATTTCAGTTTTTTTCACATTAAAATTCGCCAGGTTGGTTATGTTGCCTTTGAGACCGTACAGTAGCCCAGGAATGAAAATTACCCCCATGATGGCATACCATTTGCAATAGTAGACAACCCAGGGTATTGCAAATGGGGTATGTTCAGTCTTTTTAAGTAGCCACTTAGTCACAAACACTGGCCAAAATTGGTGTTCAAATTAGTTTTTTGCATTTTCAAATATTATCACTAACTTTGGCCAGTGTTTGTTACCAAGTGGCTACTAGAAAAGACTGGACATACCCCATTTGCAATACCTTGGGTTGTCTACTTTTGCAAATGGTATGCCATCATGGGGGTAATTATTCCTGGGCTACCATATGGTCTCAAAGGCAACGTAACCAATCTGGAGAATTTCAATGTGAAAAAAATGAAAAATTTAATATGCTATATTTAACCATGTAACTTCCCAAAACACAATAAAACCTGTACATAGGGGGTACTGTTTTACACGTGAGATATCGCTGAATACAAATGTGTATTTTATTGCAGTAAAAGCAAACAGTATTTTGACATTCACAGGTAAAATGTCACATAGAACTAAGAAAATTTAAAAAAAAATCTTATTTTCTCCCTTTTTTTTTTTTTTATATTTTATTCATATTAAATTATGTTCCATACCTAAATATTTGATGTTAAATGAAAGCCCTGTTTCCCCTGAATAAAATGATATATAATAAGCATGGGTGCATATAATATGAAAGAGGTGAATTACGGTTGGACAGACATATAGCGCAAATTCCAGGTTTTGTTTTGATCACAACTTGTACATTTGGCTGCGGTCTTACGGGGTTAAAGATAAATGTCCTCATATTTCTCAGTAATTACAATGCTGAATAACCAGTACACCTAAAGACTCCTGTGATGGACTGTTTATACTATTGACAGTTGTCTTTCAACATTATGGGTTGAGCACCTCTATAGACATTTTCCAAAGTTTTCTAGATGTAACAAAAAGTAAAAGTGCCTCTAGAAATCGAACTCCACCAACCAGAAAAATAACTTAATGATAAAGAATAATTATGCAAATCCTCTGATAATGATTTAAGGCAGCTGCCGTCACTGGCATAAACACAAGCTAGATATCAAATGGATTTAAAAAGCAGAGCAATTACTGCAGTTGTTATATTCATTCTAAGACATAATGGGGTCTCTATTCAATAAGTAGCACTTTTGGACTATAATTGAGTACAGGTCACGTCAGCTTGGTTAATAAAATTGCTTTGATGATCTATGTATTCTTTAATGACTGCATTGAAGATGCATTCAATTGAACAGGTCCCTGCTATTTTCAAATTGATTTTATTGCTGCAGCAAGATTCCATTGAAAATACCTCCAGATAAACAGCAGCAGGATTACTTGCATAAAAAAAAGTATGCAGCTATGGTGGTAGAATGGAGTGTTGGTTTAGGGTTGGGGGTATCATTAGCATGCATAAGGAGTTTAGGGGGATGTGCCAAAGTAGAAATGACCAGATTTGTTTTTTGAGAATATCCAATCTGGTTTCATAGAGCATCCATTCAGGTACGGTTTGTTAAAGGATAAACGTTGGTGTACCTGCTTGTATCACACTGTAATGTGTGCATTATAGATATATGTATTATTTCACTATATAGTCTTAATGAAAAGAGAAACCAAAAATTAAAGGAATCCTATAGCGCAAGAAAAACAAACCCGTTTTCCTGGCACTAAAGGCTCTTGGAGTGCCCCCCTCCCTCGGTGCTGAAGGTGTTAAAACCCCTTCAGACACTTACCTTAATCCAGCGCCGGGCTCTCTCTCCTACCCGCCGACGTCAGCTCCCGAGTGGAATCGAACGCGCATGCGCGGCCAAAGGCACACGCATTCAAACTCGCCTTACTCAATGCTTTCTCCTATGGGAATCTTTTTTGACACTGGAGGTCCCCGAGGATCAAATAAGTGCGTTTTACTCAGTGTAAATCATGGAAGCTGCCTTTAGTGGCTGTCAGGGAGACAGCCACTAGAGGCTGGATTAATGTTTTCAGCTGCAGGATTATAACTAGGGGGTCTGGCATCCAGACCACTTCATTGAGCTGAAGTGGTCTGGGTGCCTATAGTGGTCCTTTAATAAGCCACTTTGAGCCAGTAGCACTTACATTTTAACCAAGTTGTTATAGTGTCTGCAGTCCTGGTCTCCCTGTCCTATCCCCAAAACCCTTTATTTACTAATTAGAGGACTTTGAAGCGTGTTTTCAAGCAACACCTCCATGCCTTCTAGATATGAGAGCCAAGACTCTTTGACCGAGAAAGGAGAGACCCCCTTTAAAATAGTCCCCCTTTTAAAAGGGTTTTCAGCAGCAATATACAATGTTTTACAAGCTCAAAAGAAAGAGCTTTACACAAGAGGCGGCAATAACAGAGCAATTCAGTAAGAATGAATAGATCATAATTGAAACCTCAAATTTCTGTCATGCTTATACGTTTGGCTTCCACTTTAATAAGGATAAGTCGTTGGTTATGTGTAAAAGAATAATTTAACTTGTTAGCACAGACTTCAAACCTCTTAGGTACTTAAGATTTTATAAATTTGTACAAAAAAAAAGTTTATTATTATTTAAGACAAATACAAAATAGGCCGAAAAATGACTTCTTTGAATTATACAGCAGGCTCTGGCTCTTTATTCTGCTCCTCTGAGACCTGTTGAAAGAATAAATGTACACATAAGTCAACAAATAAACTGATAAAGTTTTAATTAAACATGCATGTTGTGAACTGTGCGCTCAAAGTTTCTGCCAAAGAAAATTTCACTAGGGTATAGAGGAAGCAAGAAGCGAGATAACCGACTTCTATTTAAACGGCTTTCTATATATACACTCACTCGCAAGCCACTTTTTCAATAATAATTTTTTTATATTAAACCAAAAAAATAGATCGACACATTTTAAAGTAACACTTTAAAAACCAAAGATATTCCTTGTCATCAGGTTATTTAAAGCTAATCAGGGTAATTTACTAAAGGGAGAATTCAAAGTGAATTTTAAATTTCAGGCCAGGGTAGCTGAACTGAAAGCATTGCTGACATAGCCAACTGAAAAATTCTCTATTTTATTTAACCCCTTAAAGACACATGATATGTGTGACATGTCATGATTCCCTTTTATTACAGAAGTTTGGTCCTTAAGGGGGTTAACGTTGAAATGCAATTTGAATTGACCTTGAATTCTCATTTTAGTGAGTATCCCTGCTAGTCTTTGCATACCTTATTTATTTTCTTACCATCACTAAGTTTCACAAAGATCTGATATTACAAAATAAATCAATAAATAAAAGAATACTCCAAGAATCATAACCATTACAGCCTGGCACCCCTCTCTCCCCAGTGAAAGTAATAAAACAGATTGTGAACTCCTTGCAGACAGCTTCTGGCAACAAAGCAGGGCCCAGTGGACCTCAGGCAGGTGAGTCACTAGATGGGGGAGTCAAGTCCCCAAGGTCAAATGTAAAGGTCCACTAGCACAAAATATTTTTGCCTGCAGCCTCCTCTGTGATCACTGCTCTGTGTGCTAGGTCTGAAGTTATCTGGGTTGCAAAAGCAATGCAGCGATCGAATATGACACTATGTGTCTTTAATACTGTGTTCTTAAACTCCCAGCAGAAACTCACAGACTGGGAAGGAGAGCTCATAGCAGGGCTACAGGGAGGTGAGGGGTGGCCTCAGTACAAAGACATTGAAGCTAAAAATTTGGAAGCAGGGCTGATGGCACACTGCATTCTAAAAACTGAGAGCTTGTGGCTGCCGGCCCTGAAATAAGTTAAATAACCACTCTTCCTCCTGCCCCTGCATAAAGACAATATCAAAGGTACTGGTAAGGGTGCCAAAATATTTTTATTTTCTTTTTTTTTTTATCATGTGTATGTATGCCTGTGTGTCTGTCACTGTGACTGTAT